TCTAAACAGCCTACAGTATTTTTACAGTTTTTATTTTACAGTTAAAATATATGTTTAATAAAGTCTAATGTTACAACTAATCATGGAACTGAGGTCGTTCCAAGAGCAGGTATTTGATCACTTTCCACAGAACGCCACTTAAAAATGAAGTATTGCTTTAAAATTATCTTTGGTTTCCCTCTACAGTCATCCTGCAGGAGGGGACAGAACACAGCAGCACAGTTTCATTTGTTGTTTCCCTCTTTCTGCTCTACATGTTCCTCTCTGGTCATTTGTTTCTTTTGCCATCTTACAASTAAAGGTTACATCTAAAGAGGGGAGCCAGTTGCTACACATAGTGAGACAAATGGAGTAGGATGTCTTTTTATAGGTCAGCGTTCAAAATGAGCTCCCCTGCTTCTCCCTGAAGACCACCTACCCAATTTCCTCACCTCTATCTCGGGCCGCGCGAGGAGCAGTGAAATATTTGTGCCGTCCTCTCTGGTGAGAATAGCTACCGCCTCCTCTCTGTTCTGGATGTCCACTCCATTTATCTGACAGGGGAAGGAGGAGGAAAGCCTTATGAGCCAATAATGTAAAACCCTTTACATCAAGAAGAGACTCAATTATGCCGCACATTTTCTTTTCTGCTAAACAGCCAGGATGAAAATAACAATTCACACTTCGACTTTAGAATCAGGCTGCAAAGGGATGAACCTCTATTGTGGATCAGATTTTTGTTAAAGTAAAATTTAATGGAAGCACAAAAAGGCAATTTGTACTCAGGTTACCTGTAATATTCTGTCTCCCTTACGGATACGACCATCCACTGCAGCGATGCTGTTTGGGTTCACCTGAAATTTAAAAACAGGGCAGTATGTTTGAAAATTTCAAACATATATATATATATATATATATATATATATATATATGTGTGTGTGTGTGTGTATGTGTATGTATGTGCAACATCTACCTCTCCTACGTAGATTCCCAGGTCCTCCTCATCATCAGTCCTGTAGCAGACCGTCAGGCCCAGTTTGTCCTGCTGGCGGGACTTGTACAGCTCCACCTCCTGTGGGGCGGTCAGAGGCTGTCAGACAGGGAACAGTGGACAAGCTGCCTGGCACATGATTTTACTCACCTCGTACTCCAGCTCGTCGTGCCGGTCCACTTCATGCTGACTGATGTCAAAGTAGTCAGTGGGGTCGTAGTACACTGGTTCTGTGAAGCTGAGGATGAGAAGATTGATGAGAAGAACATCAGATCTAAACACTATGATGCAGAATCTGTGAAGGATTTCCAGTTGATCACTATTATATCCAGCTGAGTGAAAAGATTTGTTTTTCTTACAACTATTGCAAGTGTTTGCTGATCTTACAGTAGGAACAAAAACATATTTTGTTCAGATGTGTTGACTAAATAGTAAGAAATAAAAGGTCATCAGTCTGCAGCACTGGTCTTATATGGTGCTTAGTGGATCCATTTTTGTACTTTCTTTGTTTACCAGACTCACAGGAAAGAAAGTCAAGTTTATTTAACCCCTTAAGTGGTTAAATAGAAGTTAGATTGTATCAACAACATATGTTTAAAACGGAAACAAAATCAAGTTKTTGCAAATTTGTCTATTTTTCTTCCAAAAGTGTTTCATTTTGCAATCAACCTGCAGTGTTTTGCTCATTGGGTGTGATTGTGCTAGTGATTGGGGGTGGTAAAATTGTGCCCAAGTATTATATA